AGAGGTGATCCAACGGAATGTGGAAATCATTGGACAGTATCTTTGGTATTCCATGTGCGTAAAATTTTACTAAAGGTAGTAATACAGAAATGGCTGCAACCATATATTGACAGAGAACTTCCAGAGTTTCAAACTGGATTCAGAAGAGGACATGGAATGAGGGATATAATTACTGACATCAGATGGATCTTGGCTGAAAGCAGAAATACTTGTGCTGTATTGACTACGCAAAGGCTTTCGATTGTGTGGATCATGACAAACTATGGACAACATTGCGAAGTATGAGCATTCCTGAACACTTAATTGTGCTCATGAGGAATCTGTACATAGATCAAGAGGCAGTTGTTCGAACAGAACATAGGATCATTGAGTGGTTTTAAAATTAGGAAAGATGTGTGACAGGGTTGTAGTCTTTTACCATACTTATTCAATCTGTATGCTGAGCAAATAATCTGAGAAGCTGGGTTATATGAAGAAAAACGTGGTATCAGGATTGAAGGAAGACTCATTAACAATGTGCGATATTCAGATGATACAACCTTGGTTGCTGAAAGTGAAGAGGATTTAAAATACTTACTAAAGAAGATCAAAGAGCACAGCCGTCAGTATGGATTACACCTCAGTGTGAAGAAAACAAAATTCTTCACCACTGGACCAATACACAACATTCTTATCAATGGAGAAAAGATTCAAATTGTCATGGACTTCATTCTTCTTGGATCAACTATTAACACTCACAGAAGCAGAAGTCAACAAATCAAATGAAATAGTGCATTAGGCAAATCTGCTGCACAATATCTTTTTAAGGTATTGAAGAGCAAAGATGTCAGCTTGACGATTAAGGTGTGCCTGACCCAAGCATGGTATTTTCAATAACCTCATATGCATGCAAAATCTGGACAGTGAATGAGGAAGACCATAGAACTGATGCATTTGAGTTATGGTGCTGGAGAATACTGAAAGTACCACGGGCTGCCAAAAGAACAAACAGATCCATGTTGGCAGAACTGCAGCTACAGTGCTCTTTGGAGGCCAGGATGGCCAAACTATGTCTCTCATACATACTTCGGAAATATTGTCAAGAGGGACCAGTCACTGGAGAAGGATATCATCTTTGGTAAGGTGGAGGGTCAGAGAAAAAGAGGAAGACCCCCAGCAATATGGATTGGCAAAGTGACAGCATCAACGGGCTCAAGTGTGGTAACAATTGTGAGGTTGGCCCAGGACCGGGCAGTGTTCCATTCTGTTGTGCATAGTGTTGTTATAGGTCAGTACCAACTCCATGGCACCTAACAACAACATGAAATCAGAACTGACTTGACGACACTTAACGTTATTATGGTTAATAAAGGTACCGATAATTTTTAATAGTGTTTAATATCTATCGAGTTCATTTTCAAATTTATCTAAACATGTCTTTTAAAAGTTAGTTTGCCCCCTCCATACAAAGAGTAGACAGGGATGGGCAACTTGGACATTGGCTACCCAACTGCTGAAAGGAGCTCTGGTAGCGTATTGGTTACGAATCGGGCTGCAAGCTTCAAGGTCAGCAGTTCGAAATTACCAGCCGCTCTGCGGGAGAAAGATGAGGCGGTCTGCTCCCGTAAAAATTTACAGCCTAGGAAACCCTGTAGGGTCGTTATGAGTCAGAACCGACTCCACGGCACATAACAACAACAACAACAAAGGCAAGAAGTGACTGGCTTACAAGCTTTCAAGAGGGAACCTAGATTCACAGAGCGTGAAGGAAGGCAGAATCTCCACTGAGTAATATACAATCTGTCTAGGTGGGGCTGATGAAATGAAATGCGATGGGTCTCTTGTGATACAATAGTGAATAATTGTTATCAGGACTACTTGTGAGGGTTGGAAAAGTAAAGGTAGATGTTTTATAGCAAGGAGGGGAGTGATTTACTTTTGAGTCTAGGAGCGGAGGTCCCTGGGACCAACCATCAAGGGAGAAGAGCAGAGAGCGGGACCCTACCCAGAGAAGCTGCGATGCCTGAGAAATGAGGCAGAGATGATGATGTGGAGAGGGGGAACAGTTGGGGACTTTAGACACAGAGAGGGAGAGGCGCTGTGTGCTGACGACCGGGAGGCAGGCTTCTAGTGTATACCCTTTGGTTGGTTGATGATGCATGGAGGGGATTGTAACCATGGCAAGGAAACGATATACGATAGGATGAATGTAAAACTAATGTTCTACCATGTAAACTAGCACATAATTCACAATAAAACATTTTTTAAAAAGTTTGTTCTCAAAGACTTAATATAAGTATATATGAAATAACTTAAATGCTTATATTGATTACAAGTTGAAAGGATTTTTTAAAATGTTGGATTAAATGAAACACATTAGTAGTATGAATTTTAACTGAATCATTTTAATGTGACTGTTAGAAAATTTAAAAGTGTACATATAACTTACAATAAACAAAAAGACAGAGAAAAAGTCTAGTTTGGTTTAAGTTTTTTTTTAAAAAGGTAGCTTGTTCAAATCAGGACCCAAACAAGGTTCTCACACTGCATTTGCTTGTTATGTCTCCTTTTAAATTTAGAACAACCTATTTTACCCCCCTTCTTTGTAAAATGCCATTGACTTATTGAAGAAACCAGAATGACCTCGTAGGATATATCCAACGTTTTGGATATGTCTGATTGCTTATTTCTATTGTCATTTTCTATTTTACTTACTAGCTTTAGATGTTAGACATAGAATACTGACGAGACTCAGACTTAACTTTTTAACTCAGAATACTTTATAGTCTGTATAGTGTATACTTGAGTCATGGCACGGCTCTGTAGGATAAGTACGAGGCAGGTGTGAACTCACTCACCAGTCACTCCTCAGAAATCTACACCGGGTCAGTATGAGTTGGAACCGACTTGATGACAGTGAGCAAAAACAATAACACAGTGTACTCCACATTGTATTACATCAGAACGCATATACGATTGTTCTAATTATAATCTTTCTCCTAATAGTTGATGACTGTTGCCTAGAACTTATGAGGTTGAGTTTGGCAAACTCAAATTTAAACTTTTTGTTGTTAGGTGCCATCGAGTTAATACCAACTCATACCTACCTTATGTACAACAGAACAAAGTACTGCCCGATCCTGCACTAACCTCCCAATTCTTGCTATGCTTGAGCCTACTGCTGTTGCCATTGTGCCAATTCACCTTATTGGGGGTCGTTCTCTACTTTTTTGACCCTCTAGTTTACCAAGCCTGATGTCCTTCTCCAGGGACTGGTCGGTCCATCCTGATAATATGTCTGAAGTATAAGAGATGAAGTTTGGCCATCCTGGCTTCCAAGGAAATTCTGGCTGTATGTCTTCCAACACAGGTTAGTTTGTTCTTTTGGCAGTACATGGTATTTTTAATATCCTCCTTCAACACCATTGACTCAAGTGCATCAATTTTTCTATGGTCCAACTTTTGCATGCATATGAGGTTAATGAAAATACCAAGGCTTGGGTGAGGCATACCTTAGTCCTCAGACTGACATCTTTGCTCTTTAACACTTCAAAGAGGTCTTGTGCAGCAGATTTGCCCAATGCAATACATCATTTGATTTCCTGACTGCTGCTTCAATGAGTGTTGATGGTTGATCAGAGCAAAATGAAATGTTTGACAACTTCAATCTCTTCTCCATTTATCTTGATGTTATTTATTGGTCCAGTGGTGAAGATTTTTGTTGAAGGTTACCTTTGATCTTCATCATTATTTCAAATCTTCTTTGCTTTCAGTAAGTAAGGTTTTAAACTAAGAATCACCAATAATGAGTGAATTATTTCTCCAAGATTATATCTGGCTTCCTTTGGGAAGGATTATTATTCAGGTTACTTTTCCCTGGTTTTAGACAGAAATAAAAAATTTAAACTACTACCTAAACAGTGACATTGGTGGGTTTTATAGTTATACTTAAGGAGCTCCGGTAGCATAGTGGTTACAAATTGGGCTGTGAACCACAAGGTCAGTAGTTCGAAACTACCAGTTGCCCCACGGGAGAAAGAGGAGGCTTTCTGCGCCTGTAAAGATTTACAGCCTCGGAAACCCTGTTCAGGGCCGCTATGGGTCGGAACCGACTCGACGGCACTTAACAACAACATAGTTATACTTACAGAATTCAACATTTATTATCATCAAGATTATAACTTAAACTTAGCTCCTTAAGAGATTTCCATCTCCATTTTCTGTTTCCATTTCATATCTCTGAATGCCAGTTAGCAACTGTGATGGACAAGATTTACTGGCAAACTGATGAATGGTGGCGATTGTGTGCTGTCGAGTTGGTTCTGACTCACAGCTACCATGTATATAGTTTCCAAGACTGTAAATCTTTATGGGAGCAGAAAGCCTTAATCTTCTCCCAAGGAGTGACTGGAAGATTCAAACCACTGAGTTTGCAATTAGAAGCCCAGCCCATAATCTACTATGCTACCAGAGCTGCTTTAATTGATAAGCAATGAAATGAAATTTTATACTATCTCCCTTGCGGCTAGCAGTCCAATGCTTATCCTATAACAATACACCAGGACCCGTACAAGTAGCTAGTCTATAAAATTAAGAAAATTAAGCAAAAAAGAAACAAGAGGGAAAACTCAATCCCCTCTTAAATGGATACAGCTCCCTCCAATTTACCTCAAAATATAAAAATATAAGTGATTATATAGAGAGTTGTTCCACTGAATTTGCTTGAATGGTTCTATTTTTGTATTTACATTTTCAGTTATTTAATTTGAAAACATTAGATTATTCATTTGAAATTAGAGCAGTTAACTCACTTACACTAGGGACAACAAACTAAAACATAATCCAAATGGGTTAAAATAACTCAACTACAAAAGTACAAATTTAATTTACGATATATATTTCAAAAAAGTAAACCAAACACTAATTATCTTTCCTTCAGTATATGGAAGATTATTTGCTCCCCAGAAAGAAAAAAGGCAACTAATGATTTTAGATTAAAATTAAACATACTTAGTATTCACCATGGCACAGAGCTTTTCTTTTCACAATCACATAGAGCTAACTACTGTTCTCTCAGTTACAGTGACTTTAATACATAATAGAATCTTGTTAAAACAATCTTTCCCTAGAAAACTATTGTATTAGTTAAGCCTGTCATTGATTCTTACTGTGAAGTCACTAATTCCATTTAAATAGGCACACTCTACTTTAGAATAAGACAAAATAAGTCATTCTTTTAAAAAATTATGGAATTATCTATTTTCAAAGACTAATCCCAGATAATTCTTCAAGCCATTTTCTACTGTTCATAATCAAACTTTAAAAATAATCACTAAGTGTTCACCGGAAGATTATCAATGCTATATGAAATGTAAACTGTTTTGAAGATTTGTGTCCATTTCATGATACAATTTGTACTGAACTGTTTTTTTGTTTTTTTTTTATAGGTAACTACACACATACAGTTAATCTGCCTCAAAGAACTTCTTAGAAATACAGTATAAACATTTAAGAACTATGATAGAGTCCACTGTGGTTCAGACTTCAACAAAGATTTCCTTGAAACACAGTACAAAAGTTATTGGCTTAAGACCATATCCCAAAGTGACATCAGCGTGAGAGTTGATTGTATGACTCCACCTCTTTAAAAAAGTGCACACTTGGTTATACATGGCTTTTACCCTTGGGCTACTATTATGCTACAAACCTCCCCCCACCCCTACTGTCCCAATCTAACGCCATTCATGTGGAGATGTGTATGTTCTCTGAACAGTGCATAGAGTCCTTGGTTTTCCAACTCTGGTGGAGAGCTCGAAGACGTTCAGAAGTCCGTGTGCTTACATTCAGGGCAGGATGTACTTTACAAATTCCACTTTCCTCCATTAGTGACAGGCCACAAATCCCAAAGTATGCATGTAAAGCATCTGAAAATGAGATATTTTAATCATGATAGGCACTTTAGATGCAGATCTACAAGCATAGCACTACTTTAAATATAAATTCTGAAAAATGCTAAATGTATGATGGGGCTTCATGAAGCTTGTGGGAAAATTCCGTATCTTTAGCTCCATTTTCCTAAACTTTTTGAAGCTCCCTCATACTTTTTGTAGCTTTTGATATATTTGCTTCCTTAAAGTTTCAAACAGCATTTTTTGTAAACCAGGTCATCAAAATCACATAATACTTTATTCATATAAATATTATCAACAAAGCAAAACATTCCTAACTGAACAGTAACATTTCTCAACATTCTATGATGAAACAACAGAGAGGAAGAATAACAGTAATATCAAAAAACCCACCTCATTAGTGGGATTTCCATTTTGTTTGTTTCAAAATATGGAAACAATCGGCTTTAACAATATATCATAAAAGTTTTCCTAGTAGCACCTTCCCTCAAAGTTTTATCTCTTGACAGTTCCCAAAGTGAATGCCATATATTAATACTATGTTAAGTAAGAAAAACTTAAGCAAAGCGCTACATTCTGGAATGCTGCACTATAATTTTTCATTTTGGATAATGTCAGTCACTCTAAAAATATCTGACCTGACAATAAAAACAAACTCACATTTTATTTGGTTTTGATCATGTGAGTGTTCATAATATAACAACTGTTTGCACTGGTCTTGGCAGCTTCCCATCTTTCAGGGACAGAAACCTTCTCCCACAACAGTGGTCACTGAAACACATGCCCACTCCTGCCTGAGAGCCTTATATGGACTTCTGAAGAGCTCAGAGCCCTGCAGTTGTGGGAACAGATTTTTGCCGCAGTCAAAAATTCCATTTTTGAATTGGCCATCATTTATGACCTCAATAGCTGTTAAAGTTCAAAACGTCTGAGCAAGTTTGTCAAAAGAGTTATTTATATGAGCATCACTTATTTTTCAAAATAAGAATCACAAATAGTTGTGCTTACTCCAACTTGCTTGTAACAAAGCTATTTCATTAATGCGTACCCATGTGAATCACTTTTTAGATCTTTTCTGAAAATGATTAGGCTTCCTTTGGCTTTTTTCTAACTTTTAGACTACCAAAAATTTTTGATTTCTCATATATTATTATAGTTTTCTTTTTAGCTTATCCTATAAGTACAAAGGGAACAAACCCATATTAAGCTGTATTTTCTAGAAATTAGGAAACTATTTTAGGACAAAAATTTAATAAAAAGGAAAATAATATATATCCAGAATAACATAAAATAGGACTTAAGTAAAATCCTTCAGAGTAAAGTAAAACCTTTTTTTTTTCTTCTAAAGGATTTTTGTAAAAGCCAATGAGATTAGAACTTCACTTTTCAAAACTCAAACTTTATTTTTGTTTTGTAAACCTCATCTGCAAGCAGTGATGTATTCAAGCACTTTAATGTTGGGATATATATATTTAATTTTTTTTTCAGAGATTCTTCTATAAATATACAATCTCTGCATCAATTCTGTTACTAGATCTCTTAGATCCAAGAATATGCTAAATGTATAGAATTTTGTTAAAATGACTTTTCTAAAGGTTCTGGAAACAATCTTTCCAGACAAATTCAATTTATCACACAGAGTTTCTAGGTTTTATAGTATACAGTTTCCGAAGATATTCTAACGTTTCTGTAAAGTTAGTATTACAAGCACATATTCACAAAAATGTTAAGTTCATAACTATGCTCTCTAGAAAAAAGTTCAAGCATTATTTTTTAAAAGCTATTATAAATACTCAAAATACAGTTCAAGTGTGTTAATTCAAGCAATGCTTTCCAAGAGATTGTCATTTCACAAATCCCATTGTTAAAATAAGCTATTATTTGTTAAAGTAGTACCGTGTGTGAACTGAAAAAAGTAGCATCAAGACTAAAATTATTGAGGTATTTTGTATGCAGAAACCAAAAACTTAAATCTATTATTTTGCTTTAAAATTTTAAAAAGCAAAATAATATCCTAAAGTTTTTGGTTTTGAAAACATAACTTCACTCATGACTGAAAACCCAGTATATTTAAGTACGTTTTATATAAAAATACAGGTAGTATGGATGTGAAGAGCTCATTTCACGTACAACTTTAAGAACCCTTATATTTATATTTTGCTTCAAGTACATTTTCTGACCATGGCAGGTCTGTGTAGGAGATAAACTGAAGTGGACTTTCTAGAATCCTAGGCTTGAGTATCAGTACTTAGTTCCCCCAGAGTCTGGAGACAGGAAGGCATGGAGATGAATTCATGACTGGGTTTGAAGTGTCTGTTACCGGCATCCATGTAGTTACTGAACAGAAAGTTTTATATTGTAATAATAAAGCTTAGACATTCCTAAGTTTGGGAAACAGTAGTACTAAATATTTTGAAAAAAAAAAAAACAAAGCCATTTTCCATTATTTCTAGGGAACCCACTTAAACGTGCTTGTGAAACACAAGAATTTCAATCAACATTATTTCTGTATTTGGAAACCATGGACCACCACAATGTCTGAATCTGTTTGGTTTCTGAGTTTTGGAAAGTAAATAGTAAAAGTACAGATAGCAAGGTATTCATCATAAGATTATTAGAATTTACTTAAATTCAGAGAGCAAGAGTTTAGACAATGAGGTACACCAGCATTCAGGATTTGAGATTTTTGACTAAACGTTAATTCTGAATAGAATAAGGAGAGGATCCCTTGTGAAATGAGTGTAGTTTGCTCTACTACTTACTTTAAGTTATATTTCAAAGTCTTAATGATTTTAGATGTACCAAATTGTTTCTATTTTGGACAGAATTCATTTAGATTATCTGCCTTATTGCATCAAATGAAATAAAAATTGCTACATGAAATACTTAGAAAAAAATCTACACTCTACCAATACATGTTGGCATTTTCTTTCATATCTCTCAATACCCTAAAGCTACTTCAAACTAAAGTAATCCACCATTTTTCTTTTCCTATCTTATTTACTATAAATTAACAATAACAATTGTATCTAAATTTCTGATAAAGATGCTTGAATATCTACCTGAGATATAAGCAAAAGTTTTGTTCTGGATTCATAGCAAAATATGTCAATATTCATACAAAACATAATAAGATCTACTAAACATATAAAGTTTATCTAGATTTGTACAAAAAAATAAAATTATTACCTGGATGACTATCCGGCCACTTGGCAAATCCCCCTACTAGGCGATCTTGAGTTGATAAGATATAATTTCTATTTTTTTCAAAGTTCGTGTATTGGAAAATTTTCAGAAGCTGAAATGACATGACAAATACAAATTTACCAACACTGAACTTTCATATTACCCTTTTGTTTCAAATACTGGTAAATATTATTTAAATATGCTTTTTGTAACAAAGGCTGTCAGAGCAAGTGTCTGGGGACTTCAGCATTTACAATCAGCCAACTAGTCAACCACATGATTGTTTCTTATCATCTTACCAAAGCTACTGTCCTTTACTCAACTCACTATTTCTTTCTCTTGATCTTGACCCAGCTAAGCTCTCCAAGCTAGACTTAAAACACAATTTTTCCAATTTTTTCAACTCAGTCAGTCATTTAAAAAGGTAAAATTTTAGTCACATTTTTATTCTTATCATAGGTTCTTGAGCTACTAGTTACAAACTGGAATTAACTAGAAGCAATATATATATAAAAAATTTTTTTAAAAGCAAAAAAAATATTGACTAGATGCTACAGATGTTTTTTTCCAAGAACAGTAAAATATTATTGCTCTTTAAAAAAGATAAAATGTGACAGAAAATATGATGGTAATATAAAAAATTATCTAGCTCAAAAATTTAGTATATGCATTTGTTTTCTTTCCCAGGACCCCACTAAAAAGAAAGCAATGAAAGATAAACTGTGGAGAGACTAGGAGAGCATGGGCATTAGACACAATACATTAACAAACTGCAGTGACACAAAGCAGAGATAAGTGACTTAGTAAATCAAAGAAAGCCAATGAAATTGTAGACCAGAATGTGTGTGTGTAAGTGCTGTCGAGTCATCTCTGACTCATAGCAACTTTGTATCAGGTTTTTGAGAAGCCGCTGGGGGTCTGAATTGTTGGCCTTGTGGTTCCCAGTCCACGGCTGATCCTATAACACCACATCAGGAGGCCAAGAAAACTGCTGGAGGCCCAAAATTCTACAGGCAAGAATCAGGCTGATAAAATCACTCAGATGTAAACATGTGCTACCTTTCTGGACAAAGGAAGGGTAAAGCCAAATAAGAGTCACAAGCTGTGGGGAAAAAGATGTGGTTTAACCCTCAGTTAAGTGTCCTTTTGCCTTGATTCTGGAGAAACAACCCTTGCAGTAACTAGGGTGCCTTGTTTTGGGACTTCCAGATCACTCTTGGGAATCTATGCTGACAAGTGGGGGCTGGTGAGACCAGAAAAGACTCCCTTGGGAGGCTGGTATCAGATAGTCTCAGGAGGCATGATTAGCCTATGATGCAGAGCTAGTTAATGAAAGCCTTAAACATTAAGGCTGGGATAGCTCCCTAGAAGAACACTTGCTTTTAAGAGGGTAATGTGCTCCTTGGAACATGGGTGCTTCACTTTGGGAACCCTCCCAGACTGTACCACACAGAAGGAAACCCAAGGGGGGCTGGTGCTTGAATATGGGCTTACAGAAATGAGTTAGAGGGGACTTGAAAACAGTGGCCCCCCTCCCCACCCCCTTCTATGCAAAAAGTGAAGAAACTGCATGGATACTTACTGGCATCCTGGAATAATATCCTTCTCGTGTTAGCATTAAAGACCCCCATTTTAACTGCCAGCATCCCTTATAGAAGTTCCAGAAATTTCGAGAAAAACAGAGGGGTGTTGCAGACCGTCCAGACCTGGTCAGGAGTTTGAGGCCCTGTGGGCCCAAGTGTTGCAGACCGTACAGGCCGCAGGCTTTGAGGAACAAACTCTAGCCACCTAGCAGACATAGCAAACTGTTTTTCATCTTAGTATTCAGTTATGTTTATTATTAATTGCATACATGAAGCCCTGATATCTACAGATAAATGTAATATTTTCCTAAAAGCCGAGACTGCAAAATTCCAAAAAGGCAAAGTTCTTCCCTCAAAGAATTCAGTCAAAGTAAACTGGGTGGCTTCCCGAGTCTTTGTTCTAAGGACAAAAGGACACCCTCCCTAAAGTGTTTCCAGGTGCAGCCCTATTCACCCAGGCATCTTGCTTCCTGAGAAACCTGGGCTGGGCAGCCGACACAATGGGACTCCTCCCAATCCTCCTTTTCCTTCCCCCATTTGAGACTAGGTGCCTAAAAGGTATGTTAATTAAGCTTGAGAAACCAAGTTACGGTCGTGAGATTTGAACCTGCGAAGTACAATGTAAAGTTGCCTGAATGTCTGGAAAATTACGTATGTTAGCTGTACCTTGTCTTAGTTCCGCCCAGCTTTGTGTATAGTTCCTCCCCTAAATAAAACGGAGGCGCAGAATGAATCCTGGTGCATTACGGCTGGCAAGGTGTGCATTACAGCTTGGAGAGGGTGCTATACGGCTGACTAGGCATGTGTTGCTGACCAGCTAGTAGGGGGTGCGTACTGCCAGCATAGCTAAGATGTTTGCTATGCGGGATCTTACCGCCCTTATAGCTCAGATGTTCACCACGCCGGATCTGCCGGATGCCAGTAAAGCATCCACTCTGGTTTTGGGGTGTCTCTTTGTGTCTCTCTTTGTGTCCTTGTGTGTCTTACTATATCTTTACCACCGCCAGATATCCCCACCTCGTGAACCAAACATCCGTGTCGAGGCAAGTCCCCGGCAGAGGGGAAGAAATTTAGTAGTGAAATAATAGAATAGACTTTGATGAAGCTGAAAGAATACATATCTTCTTTAAACTGAAAGTAGACTAACAAAAAATAGCCCCCAAACTATTCTTTCAAAATTTTAGAAGAGAGATAAAAGAGAATTTCCAAAAGCTTTGTGAGAGAGGGGCAGAGAAGGGCTGTTAGAAAGGGAAATGTGTAGGAATGAAAATTAATAATTTGATAGGAAGAAAATAAAGTAATACCATTAAAACTATAAAGGAAAATTATTTTCTTCTTAGGCATCTGCATCAAGCTGAATGATGACTCATCATGTGTAAAGACAGAATAAAGATGTTTTTGGGCACAGAGGGCCTCTTAAGTTTCCACAGCACTTATACTTTCTGACAAAGATGTTTCAAGAACTACTCAAGAAAAAAAGAGGTCAAAAGCCAGAATGATGAAATGACATACAAAATGGTTGCGCTACGGTTGATAATGCAACCCTTATGCACTGGTACAGCTATGCTTCTAGGGTATGGCAAGCATCTGTTCTGATTAGTTGCTCCAAGCTATACCACATGTAAATAATATTTTAAGCATTGTTCTTGGCTTGAACTAACCCATGAATCCAATGGAAAGAAATCTCAAAATGACAGTTTCAAAGTAGGCCTATAGGCTATAGACTAATTCTTTCAAATTAGAACAGGATGTTATCCAACTCTAAGAACAAGGTCTTAAAGATAGAGTCCATGTACTATTTTGACTATGAAGCTAGATAACAGTGAATGATATGAAAGGCATTCTTCTCAAAAAGAAAAGAATTGCAATTAGAAATTCCAAGAAAACATCTGTAAGAAAATTGGTCAGACAAAAAATTAACTCATTTTGAACAACTGATAGAGTATAAATAAAAAAGAGTCTTGGACCTGATGTTGTGAACATTCTATATCAAATGGCACATGGGTTGTTAAATAAAAGGAGACATTATAATCTCAACAATATGCTGAGTTGGCAATGAACAATATTTATAGTATCGTAAGTGCTGACTACTGATTTTCAACTTTTAGAACCAATCAGCAGGCAAAGCATGAAAGATTTTATTATGATAATTATGGTAAAAGAATATGTACATCACCAAACTTAAAATTGTAAAAGTAAAAGAATTGGAAGGTGGAAGGGGAGAAAAGGATCAGAACTAAGTAGTAGCAGTTTACGGGAAAAAAAGAAGGCTACATATTCATTTTTCACACTTGGGAATAAAAAATATCTTACAAAAAAGTTATAAGCAAGAAAATAGCATATGATTTAGTTTTGGTAATATCCACCCTAACTGTAATTTGTTGTTAAATGCTGTTGAGTTGGTTCTGACCCACAGCAACCCTGTACAGGGTTTCCTAGGAGTGGCTGGTGAGCTTGAACAGTCAACCTTGTGATTCAAACAGACTTTGCAGTACAGAGTATTAACCCGCAGTGCCACACCAAGACTCCATAATTATAATAGAGAGTATTTACAAGTGGCTACATCTAGAAATTTGTCAGACTGCTACAGTCATATGAAGAAGACTCAAGAACCAATATAAAGGGGATCCTACTGATTAGATGAGATCATTAAGCATCACAATGAGAAACTGCAATGGATTAAAACATACAAAATATGCTAAAAATCTGAGTTCACAATGATACTGAAAGAAAAATAAGCAAACCCTAAAACCTAGAGAACCAACTCATTGTACAGAACACTGTAAAATAGAGACTGTTGCTGTTATTGTTAAGTGCCGTCGAGTCAGCTCTGACCCATAGCGACCCTGTATAGGGTTTCCAAGGAGTGATTGGTGAGATTGAACCGCTGA